GAGAGAGAGAGAGAGAGAGAGAGAGAGAGAGAGAGAGAGAGAGAGAGAGAGAGAGAGAGAGAGAGAGAGAAAAGGTGCCCACTCGGTTCTTCTTTCATAAAGTGAAATAGCCGCGCCATGCAACCAACACCGATCGTTCTGAAGCGGGTACTGAATGCGTCCAAATTTAGAATGCATTCTCCACACATGTTCGGCTGAGCCGTCGGCGCCGTTTTGTATAGGACTTGGGCCACTCGTTTCAGTTTTGTTTTTTTGGGCACCCCGTACAGCTACCTGGGACCAACTGCCCCGCAATGCAATTGACACACATCGTTTTGAATCGCGTGCTGAATGCATCCAGATTTAGAACGGATTCTCCACACATGTTCACCTGAGCCGTGCGCGCCGTCTCGGATAGGACTTGGACCCCTCAATTTTTTTCTGTTCTTTTTGGGCACCCCCCGCAGCTACCTGGCACCAAACCCCCCCCTCCCCGCCCGCAGCCTCCCAAAAAATGCCCCGCCAGCAGTGAAGTTCAACTTTGAAAGGCCATAACTTTGTCTGGGGTATGTCCAGAAGTTGTGCATTACTGTAGTTGGGTGGGAGGGTGTCTCATAGGGTGATGATCCTGGGTATACTCAGGTAGGATCTTGAGAGTAGGGATGCGTTGGGAACAGTGATGATGAGTAAGGGTGGAAGGGTGTCTCATAGGGGACCAGTTAGGGAATACATAAGGATGATCAAATGCAGGCCTGTCATACGCCTACCTGGACTTTGAAGGCCGGGGGGGGTGGGAGAACAATTTTGCGCTACCAACCTGGGTCCACCTCAGGCCTGGGCATGCAAACAACTTATTCCGGCCGTTTTCCGGGTATAGATGCAAGTTGCACTGGGACTGGGTGTAGCGGGACGTGGTAGAAAGGGGGTGGAAGTTCCCCCGTTGCTGGGGTCGTTCAGCTCTGGTCGGCCACGGCTGCTATGGAATCATACCCTCAACCCTGGGGCGTGTACTCACACGAGGACTTTTCCAACTTATCCCGGGGCGCGGCTCATCCAGACGTGGAAAGTCCTCGTGCGAGTATCCCGTGAGCTACAGGTAGGCCCATGGGCCGTTTCTATTTGTCTCCAGTTTCGAGTTTGTTTTGTTTTTTTCCCCAAAGAAGGAGCATCATTGGATACGTAGGATTTGAATTCTCCCAAAAAAAAAAGAAAAAAGAGAAAAAAGAAAAGAAACGGATTTGAATTCATGATATGTTCAGCCCCAAGGCAGGTATCAGTTCAAAGTTGGAGATGGGTAGGGGCCAGTGAGGAGGTTTGGGCGGGAGCCAAGTTCCAGTGGCGCCGCGATCGCGTAGTTTTTGAGGATCTTTCGAATGCAGCCAATATATGGCCACGAGATGTTCAGATCGGACGGCTCTTAAAGACCAATTCTCGAAAACTGCATGGTCAGGCGGCGCCACTCAGACTCGGGGATCATCGAGCAACGGATCTCCCGCCCAAAGTAACTAGCCGTTGTGCGCAGTTCCTTTCCCGCCTACCAGACGGGGAAGGCAGGTATACAGTTCAATTACCACCCCTCATTCGCGCCCGCGGTCGGCGCACATGCCGTTGTCACTTGCTACTCGTCACTCGCGCGTGCGCGGGCCGTAGCTTCCATTGCTCGCTCCAGTCGCTCGCAGCAATCGTCCGCTTGCCGACTTGCGCATTCGTGAGCATAGGCATCGGAGCGCCACAGCAGCGACATCGTGACTCATCTTCGACCTGCAGATTCTGGTCAGGCAACGAAGACATCGGAGCGCCACAGCACCGACATCGTGAGTCGCCTCCGTCTTCCATATCTCGCTCTCCTCTTTCCGTACCGGATTTCCCCTCTCTATTCCAGCAGCCCTTGCTTTCTTTCCCTGCTTTGTACTATTCCGGTTCTTCCTTTTGTTCTCGTTGTAGTTGCCTGCTTCCCGAATGACCCCGCTGTCTTCCTTCTCATGATGCAGGGAGAGACCGGGCTTGCAGAAACGCGTTGCGCGAAACATCTTCATGGCGTTTGTGCTGTGAGTAAACTGACGGAGCAGCCCGTTGCAAGCGGCCACAGCCCTCGTAGTCACATTCTGGGAGGTCATTACAAATTGACCTGAAGGCCATTCTCGTTGTTATTGCTTCAGCTACGCTTGTTCTGCGTCTGTGGTCCCGGAAGATCGAGCATCAGAGGGAGAAGGGAAGAGCAGAGGATCAGAGGAAGAAGGGAAGAGCAGAGCATCAGAGGAAGAGGAGATGGACATCTCTATGGAAGAGAATTCAGTTGAGCTGACGGCCACCTCAAAGGTGAGCGAAGATCTTGTCATTCCAATCTTTTGATGAAAGTACATGGACATGGATTTCCTACTGGAAGTTTGGGATGGTTGCTTTGCCGTTTTCGGGTCGTTGGTTTCGTTTCGGGTTCCAGTCCGTCTTCTTCTCATTGTAGGAGGGCAGGGCTGTATTGGCCCTCCATACTCAGTAAGCGGGAGGACAGTCGGTGGGACGCAGTGCATGGTTGTGCGGGAAGCCCCCTTAGGATGATTGGAGCGCAGCCCATCGAAACGTGCGTCGGGGAACGTGCGAGTAAACTGAGAGCAGTATGCGCGGCTATGTACTCAAATTGGTTTGCAGCGTGTACGAAAGGCAGTTGGCCCCTGTTTTCCCTATTCTCTACTCGCCTTGTACTCTTATGAACAATTAGTCAATAAAGGATATCGTGATGGTGGACGAGTCTTTGTTAATACCGATATGTATTTTGAGTCGTTGACGAGTCGCTGAAAATTCGCCGACGGGAAAATTGCTGTCGGCATTTCCGAGAAAAGATATGGGTACGGGGAATCGGTTCAACCGTGTTCTTGCTTCCACTTTTGCTTATGTGGCCGGAACATCGAGGCTGTGATCGAGTCTGAGCAGCAATAGTTCCGCCGGGTTCGCCGTTATTTACTAGTAATAGTTTCGCATGATAACCAATTGTAGTCCCGGGCAGATTCTTTAAAAAAAAAACAAAGGAAAAAAAAGGAAGAAATGTTTATCACGGAAAATTACGAAAGGTAAGTCGGGTGTCACTGGATCTAAAGGAATATGCTTACGCGACGTCATTGCCTTGACTTGTAGCCATGGTAGGGGACCACCACCCCGTTGTCAACTTTCGTTTTGCGGGAGAGTTGTTGCGGGTTGGGAATGACAATCTCTCCTGATTGTTCTGCCGTACCATCTGTCATTGTATGTTGCTCGGGATGGATTTTTAAAAACGGGTTGTCAATTGATGATATGTCTACCATTTATCATTCTATATTAATATTAATTGTCGTTGGACGGGAGAAGAGTGGCGGGACGAGCAGGGTGCGAGTTGCATCTCGCCCTCGTCAGTTGTTATTCTGACAGGTTCATCTTACTTGGTCGATTTTTTTGAAGTTATGAGAGGATACCTCGGCCATTTTATTCGTACGGATGATGGGGTTAGCACAAGTAATCTCGGGATGATGTTTTTTTTCGAATGCCCAAACCGTTTTATCGTGTTTTCATCGTACTTGGAGTCTTCGTCCGGATTTTTCATGTAAGTAGAGGATGCCTAATGATGTATATGGAACAAACTGGATGCGTTAAGTAATGTTAGTACATGTATTCATACAGAGGTCACTGAATAATTTTCCTAATTGGTATATAATTTTCGCAGAAGAAGAGAATCGACACGAAACAAAGCTCGAGGGGAAAACAAGTTGGAGAAATTTCTGATGTCTAGACTTGAGTGGAATGGAAAAGAAGTGTGCAAGGTAAACTGACGTTGCGTGCAGATACCTATTGTTCGGCCTTTCGGTCCATCGGACTACCTAAAGTGGAAAAAATAACGATGTTGCTTGCAGATGGTTGGTCAGGCTTTGGGCTACACTAGTCCATTCAGTGCTCTACCTCTTTTTATTTTATTTTATTTTATTTGTAACTGACGTTGCGTGCAGTTACCTCTTGTAAAGGCTTTGGGCTACACTACAAACTTCCCCCGAACACAACGCACCCCGATATGTACTGTACGCGAGCTATCTTTCCGGTCAGGTGCAGCCAAAATGAGGGTGCGTTGTGTTCGGGGGAAGACGGTAGCCCATTGGCTACGGCCTTGAAATATCATCGTGCAACTGACCGGCCCTAGGTATTCAGAATTGTACGAATTTACTCATTTATTTCCACTGGAGTTCGATCTCGGCTCTATTTCGACAGTTCAGGGGTGTATCAACAATATTTCGGGTTTTGGGTAGATATGAACGGCGCCACGTATTCAAAAAGTAACAACGAGAATAGCCAGCTCAATAGCAGATCCTGCAGGAGCTACAATCAATACGAATGAAGCAATTTGTGTATCGCTAAGAAGGTGGTGCTCTTGGGTTGACTCTCTTTGTCGTTGGCAGGTCTCATCAAAGGGTGGAAGGGGGGGAGGGGCAGGAAGGGGAAGAGGCGGAGGCGCGGGCCGGGGAGGGAATGCGAAGGCTCCGTTAAGGGATGCAACGAATGACGGCGATGAGTTATCTTCAAGAGTAATTGGAGATGAGAAGACGATCGAAGAGGTTTATCAGAAAAAGACACAATTGGAGCACATTTTGCTTCGTCCGGACACGTACGTCGGGTCAATTGAGAAGCTGACTCAGCATATGTGGGTATACGAGGATGGCACGCTTCGTCACAGGGCAGTGACGTTCGTGCCTGGGTTGTACAAAATTTTTGACGAAATTTTGGTCAATGCAGCTGATAACAAGCAGAGAGACCCGTCCATGGACGCAGTGAAAGTGGACATCAACCCCGAGACGAACACCATCAGCGTGTTCAATACAGGAGACGGAGTGCCTGTGGAAATTCATGCTGAGGAGGGCGTCTATGTGCCAGAAATGATCTTTGGGCATCTGCTCACTAGCAGCAATTACGACGATACCAGGAAGAAAACTACAGGAGGAAGGAACGGTTATGGTGCCAAGCTGACAAACATCTTCTCCACAGAGTTCGTCATCGAGACGGCCGATGGGAAACGTGGGCGCCGTTACAAACAGGTAGGTGTTTGTTTTTCTTCTTTGATCAAAATTATCTGTTCTTCTTTTCTTTTCGATATTCACGTTACGTGGGCCAAGGTGCACCATTTTCTCCTGTACGTTTTTCGCTGCGCTCTTCATCATTCTGTGGGCCAAGATGCTCGTTTGCTGAGATACCTGGACCGTTTATCGGTCGATGCGCGTTTCGAAATCCACATAGTTCACATGACGTGTTGTTATTGTTCTTTATCATTACGGTATTATTACTCGTACTTGGCATTAGGCCTTTGGATTGCGGATTGCTAGTAAATCTTCGTATTAATACTATTATTAAATATATATTAGGGTCAAATGGCTGTGCGAAAGAAGTCACATGTCAAAGATGTGTGCGCGCAATGTCCGTGAAATTACTTCAGCCTTGTTGCCACTACTGCGCAAACCGTTTGCGATTCGGACAGTCGGGTTAGATTTTTTTTTTTTTGATGTACTTGTTTATTGAGTATTTTCAAGGAGAGAACCTTTGATATGATTGCGCAGGAGAGAACCTCTGACATGGTAACTGTCCTCTGTAGGAGTCGAACTCGCGACTCACTCATTGGTATGTAGTTATGTAGAAGAGGTTCATGCCCACGGGCTTCACAAGTGGTTGACGGGGACCACCAGTTTCAGCTCCTTGGAATAATTGCGATGCAGTTGCTTGTCGTGGGATCGAAGGATTTACAGTAAGACTGAAGTTGTGCTTTTTCTCGTTTGTTGAAATCGTGTCGTTTTTGGCGCAAACAGGTGTTTTCAGAAAACATGGGAAAGAAATCCGACCCGAAGATCACGACGTGCAAGGCGAGTGAGAACTGGACGCGTGTCACGTTCAAGCCGGATCTCGCAAAGTTTGGTATGGATACTCTCGAGCACGACGTGGTTGCCTTGATGAGTAAGCGAGTCCTCGACGTTGCGGGCGTTCTTGGGAAATCAGTGAAAGTCGAACTCAACGGCACGCGCCTGCCCATTAAATCCTTCAGTGATTACGTCGGCATGTATCTTGATGCCTCTGAGAAAAACAGTGGAACAGAGGTCAAGCTTCCCAGGTACGTCTTGCATCATCATGTGTGAGAACCGTGCGTGGACTGATCATGCTCCCCTGTGCGTGAACTGATCAAGCTCCCTAGTTCAGCACCCTTTTCTTTGTCAAAGCAAAACCAGAGGCGGACCCAAAACGACAGCTAAAACTAGCGTCTTCACCCGATTATAACTAGAACTGATTGTCATTATCGCCGTATGTAGACTTAAAGCTGCCCCAAATACAGGTATAATGAGCGTGCGTCCGATTCGGTTGTAGATGCTAGGTCCTTTGTTTCCCCCCTTTCAGACCCTCCGGTCATAAGTTATATACAGAGGAGGATTCAACCATCAAAAAGGTTGGCGAACCGACCAAAACTGCAAATAGATGGAAATGGAACCATATGCACTTAAAAGGTTTCGAATGAACCATGAGAGATTCAGAGGTAAGAATCTTAGTATTACTTATCAGATCATAAGAACGGAGTCTGACTAACTGAATGTGGATGGCCCCTTGTTGTTTTGCCTTGTCACAGAATTTACGAAAAGGTCAATGATCGCTGGGAGGTTTGCGTCTCGTTGAGTGAAGGCCAATTCCAGCAGGTCAGTTTTTCTTCAATTGCCCATCTTTGATCTACAGTCTTCTCACTGGTCACTCTTCTCCCCTCTACCCCATACATTTTTGTACGCGCCCGAATTTTTCAACAGAATAGTAGATCTGGATGCGCGCGGAAGTTTGCAAGTTTGACGCAGGTGATAAGCAACCAGACTGCTGGGCCCCCAAGAATAGAAGGGGTTGAGTGTGACAAAAAAAACCCAAAAGAGACTGACAGTCGCAGAATTTAGGAGTTGATTTGGAGCTTTGTCCTTTCTCGATTCGCTGTGGTGTAAAACTAGCAAAGATTCACCACCTCCCCCCCCCCCTCTTTCCGAAAAGAAGACTAGCAAAGCGAAGTCCTTTTCGGTTAATATCGAGTCTGTTCTCTATGGAGTGGACGGAAATTTTGTTATCTATTCCCCCCCCCTTTCTGCATGGTGTTGAACTTTTTCATAATAAAAACAAAAATGATTGATGCGACTAAGAGAAAAGGAAAAAAAGGGAAAAAAACACGCGTTACTGACCGTTTTTGCGCGGTGTTACTTGGCACGACCCATTTGTGTAGTGCCATGGGGGCGGTGACGGTCCACGGATTAGCAGGGAACGGAAGTCTGCAAGGAACTGTCCTCTAGGCGGAGCCTGGTGTCTACCGTGTTGCCCCGAACATAACACATCCTCATGACGATCGTATCGCACCAGAAAAATAGCCTGGAATCATTCATAATCACGGTGCGTTCTGCCCGGGGAAAGACGGTATTTCCACGACCCATTTTTCGCTGCCAGCTATACTTCACGAACTGGTCAGTATTTGATACCAAGGCTCATGTGCTTGGTGTTAGTCCAAGTGCATATATACACCAGTGGAATTTCTTCACACCGCTCTCACCGGCATATCGCATAACCAGAGAGCGAAATTGGACCATCCTGTAATCTTGTATGTTTGCTGTTTACTATATATCTATAATGTAGCCTTCAATCTGCCCATTTGCTACTCTTGGCGCATAATCAGAGCGAAATTGGAATATCTGAACGATTTTTTTTAATCTTTCAACGAACGATTTTTTCCCTCCGTCAGCACCGCAGAAGAGGATGAACTAGACGTAGATGAATGTCTTCCTTTTTGATTGTCTGTCTGTCTGTCTGTCTATCTCTCTATCAGCCTGTCTCTCAGTATGTCTTCTTTCACTGTATATTGTAAGGCATTCTTCCTAGAGGTCGTCGTGATAATTTTTCACACTCATTGCTAAATCAACCAGTCTCGACGCAGCCCAGGTTCATGTTTGGTTTCCTATGAATATGGCTCCCTTAGCAAACCAGGTTCGTGCTTCCGTCCTTGATCCAGGTGCCGACCTCTTTGTCAGGATGGAACTGATCAGACGTGTGGTTCTTATTGCACACCAGACATGTTCGAGCATTTCGTGTTTTCTTTGTGGGCGTGCTTAGTTCCGCAGTCTTCTGTGACGCTGTTGTGTTTCCTCTCTCTGTGTTTTCTATACATGAATGTTGACCTGTGACTGACATGGGAGGATGGATGATTGCTTTGGCAGGTGAGTTTCGTGAATGCTATCAACACCACGAAGGGAGGAACACATGTCAACTACGTGAGTGAACAAGTTGTCAATAAGTTGCTGGCGGTAGCGAACAAGAAGAACAAGCAGGCTAATTTGAAGCCTTTCCAGATTAAGTGCCATTTATGGGTTTTTGTCAACGCGTTGATCGAGAATCCTGCCTTCGACTCTCAGACGAAGGAAACTTTAACGACGCGTCCAACTGCTTTTGGGTCCCCATGCACCCTCTCAGAGGTATTCCTCAAGAAAGGTGAGCGAACATTTGATCTCCATCCCCCTCCGGCTAGCGGACCATTTTTACCCCGTCGTCCACCCCTCGTCCACCCCTCGTCCACCTCTTGTCCACCCCTCTTCCACCCCTCTTCCACCCCTCTCCACCCCTCTCCACCCCTCTCCACCCTTCATGTCCAAATAGACTGCGACGTTGTTAGCTGAAGCTGCAGCCGTTGACTATCACAGATGGTACTCGATCGCAGTCGGTAGGGTCGCGGCTGCTACACGGAAGGGTTTATGATGTCGCTATTTTGCAGTGTATTTTCCACCTATATTTTCCCCCCTCTCGCTGATGTTTCTTTTACTGCACTAGTTCTTATTCTTGTTTTGTTTTTTGCGTCTTTCTCGCATAAGGGTCTGGGTGTAGTTGTACCACTCGTGATCATCCCCCAAGATTTTGAAAGCATCTGGACGAACCGCTTGGCCAGATGCGTTCACCGCAAGTTTCGAAAGTCTCTGGACTGAGGAGGTCGTTTTGTTGATGTGTATGCTTTTGATGTGCGGAGCGAGTAGATGCCCATCTCGACATTTTTCTCCTTATTTATTTAATTTTGCGTAGGAACAAGCAGTTCACATCTCCAAAGTGAGAGGGTGTATCCAGAGGTAGAGGCAATAAAACGCAGAGACCTTTGTCTGACAGACTCTGTACTAGAACACTTCCGCACGGATTTGAGCTTGTGCTTTTTATTTGTATCTATTAACAGTTGTGGGAATCTGGTTCTGTGTCGGAATTTGCGTTAATCGTTAGAAAACAAGTTTGCCTCTTTTCGCTTGTCATCCTGCCTAAATTCATTTCACGTCTGTTTTCAGCGGTTTTACCCCCCTCCCTGTATTCGCACGACTAACGCCTGCACTACTTATTATGCGCATGTTTTGATGTGTATGAACGAACATGTCGACTTGCAGTTGTCGGCTGCGGAATAGTGGAAGAGCTGCTTTCGTTCGCATCGACAAAGCTGAGCAAAGAGTTAAAAAAGAATGATGGAACCAAGCGTCAGCGTCTGACCGGAATTCCGAAGCTGGATGATGCCAACGATGCGGGTGGGAAGAACTCAGAGCACTGTACATTGATTCTTACTGAAGGAGACTCAGCCAAAGCTCTTGCGGTAAGTTCCCCAGGGTATCATGCCATCTGAAGCTTCCTTTTTTTTTTTTTCTTTTTTTCTTTTTTTATTATTATTAATTTTGGACCATATCTCGATTTATGCGTGTCGTCCTTGCGCAGGGGCCATGCTAATCATCTTCTCTGTATCGTTCCAATTTTAACGGATGTCCCGAAGGACGAAGCCTTCATTTCCCCCTCCGCTCGGTAATGAAGTTCTGTAATTTTGACGGAAATTCCAAAGTTGTAATTGACCGCTCCAGCCATAGATCTTTTTTTTTATTTTTTATTTTTAAACGCCCCCTTTAGTGGTAGTGGTGCTGGTAAGAGCAGACACCACTAGCACCTGGGGAGAGGCTCCATCTCTTGGTGGGGAGCATCACCTGCTGGAAAACGGATCCAGCGTGCCTTATACAGACTGAATTTGGAACACCTCAGGAAAGGAAAGCAAGTGGGAGAGTCCTGCCAGCCGATCTTTTTTTTTTTTTTTTTTTTTTTTTTTTGAAAACCCGCTTGCGAGGCTTCTATCTCAGTCCTGATTACCCAATTGCTGCTTTCTTGATTGGTCGTTTGCCGAAGATCATGGATTGGGATGAACAAAAAAAAAGTGACATATGAGTGGGGAAAAGGAAAGGAGAGGGGAGGGGTTAGGAGGGAATTGAGAGAGATAAAGATGGTGGGGGTGAATTGTGCTTGCTCTTGTTTGCAGTAATTTTGTGCTTGGTTGTCCTGCCTGCATTTTGCACGTTTTCCAGCCCCCTTCCTGTTTTAAACTTGTCGTTGTCTTGACTAGTACCAGTGACTGCTGGAACGGTCTGCATGTCTCTGGAGAGAGAGGGGGAGAGATCTGAATCTCCCCCTCAGGGTCTCGTCCCATCTGAAGCTCGCACAATAATGGGAAAACGTGCTCCTTAGTTCGTTCTAAACCATTCTAAAGCTGCTGTTTAGTTCATTGCAAATCGCTCGAGAGCTGTCTCATTTTTAGGGTTAACTGCAGTGCTAACCTGGCAGTAAATGAACTCAATAGGCGAAATGCCATTCTGTGTTCAGGGTGGGAGCGAGGACGCATCTGTTTCTATCATTGACCTTGTTCACATGCTCACCTGCTGCGTTTCTCTAGTCCATACACTTGTTTTCCAGATTTCTTCTCGCTAGACAATGTCTCTTCATTCGTGACTTGCTTGTTGTTTTGTCGAGTTTTGTTGAGACAACTGCGCCTATCACTGGAAATAATTGGCATAAATGGGAGGTACCTGTACCTCTACAGGTCGTTTTTTTAAATTTTAAATTTTATTTATTAGAACAGATACTACGCTTGATCTTAGCCAAAAGGCGGAGAAAGGTTACAGGTCGTTTTCCCGAGGGCGCTGCGGGAGCAGGTACTGGTACCGTCCTTCCTTTCTTTTCTTTTTTTATAAGGATCACGGAGGCGGGTTGGGAAACGACTCGTGTTCGCAAGCTCCTCTATCTATTAATTTGCGGTTTGGTGATATTTCAAATTTGTCTTTATACTTTTTGTCGGTCGCGTCCGTCCATCATCCGGCAAGTTGACTGACTCGTTGGTTATATCTCTTGCGGTTAAATGCAGGTGAGCGGGCTGAGTGTTGTGGGAAGGGACCGATATGGTGTGTTTCCTCTGCGTGGTAAGCTGCTGAATGTACGGGAAGCCAGTCATAAGCAGATTATGGAGAATGCTGAGATTAACCAGATCAAGCAAATCATGGGCCTTCAGCACGGGAAAGAGTACGATAGTGTCAAGTCACTTCGATATGGCCATCTGATGATTATGACAGATCAGGTTTGTTTGGCGGTTACTGTTATATGATGCTCGCAGCTTTCTTTGCTTTACAATCTTTTGTCCACTTCTTCCTTGCCTTGTCTGTACTCTCCTCCTCGTTAGCTTCCCTCCCTTTGTCTTGTTTCTTTATGTTCCTTCGTTTTTGTACCCTTCTGGCAACCTGTCGTTATGTTTCGCAATGTTGTAGCACTCGAACTGGCCTCCGTTTTTTTTTTTTTTTTTTAATATTTTGGAACATTTCTACCATTGTCTTCATAAGCTCGTATGGTTGTGGCAGGTTAGAAAATTCGAATTTGGTGCTATAGAAGTACTAGAGACGTATGCATTCTACCCTCCTTCCAGCTCCTCGCTAGCACTGCTAACTTCCTTAATGGATCTTGCCTCCTCATATCCTGTTGATGGCCTTTTCTTTGCTGGCGAGTTCCTGTGTTTTTCAGTTTTTTGAACAGTTCGTCAGCTATGGCATTTCGACTGAATTTTCTTGCTGTTTCTGTATGCTTGTATGCAGGACCATGATGGATCTCATATCAAAGGCCTGTTGATCAATTTCATACACTCGTTCTGGCCGTCACTTTTGAAAGTCCCTAACTTCCTGTTGGAGTTTATCACCCCCATTGTCAAGGTATGTGCACTTTCGGAAACAGAAAATGTCCCCGTGTGTGTTTGAGAGAGAGAGAGAGAGAGAGAGAGAGAGAGAGAGAGAGAGAGAGAGAGCAGTTGATGTTATTTGGCTGATTTCCCTTCTCATATTGTGGAGAGAGAGAGAGAG